AGGGAGCCACAAACGCTGTCCACCGGGATCGGAACCGCGCCGTGCGGCGGTTGGGATGGCTGCTACTGGGTGCCCCGTGGCACCAGCCAACGACGTACTCGTGGCGCGAGATTAAAGAATCCCAGGCGGCCTGGGCCGGGAGAAGGACATGGGTGTGCGTGCTCGATTCGGGTTGCCTGACGGCCACAACACACATGTAGGTTGAAGTCGGTTGGAGCGCAGCGCCCGATGGCGTAACGAAGGAGAGTCTATTGCATGTTCGATATGCAACGACTTGACCTACCAGGAATATAGTCTGGGATGCCTTGACGAAACGGTTAGGATCTGATCCGTCGCCGTCGGTCACAAAGCAGCGGCGAAACCGCACAAACCGGAATAGCAACAGGAGCGGGCGGTCACGTAACCCCCTGGAGAGATCTTCAGATGGTCCGGTAAGTCTGCTGTACGGAATGACGACGTTGGCCGGGCCTTCTTCCGTGTCCACTGCTGATGGCACGCTTGATTCGTTAGGGTCATACCGTTGGTGCACACCCAGCCGGGGCGACGACTCGAATCATCGATCACGAAAGGGATACGGTGCCCGGGTTGGATGTGTCGTGCTTCATGTAAGCGGGCGTAGATTGGTTCGTCCCAAACTCTCCCGGGGAGCTCGTGTGTGCACTCGAGACGCACGACGTTGCCACGAAGGGCAGCCGACCGTGTGATAGCTACTGGCGGATTTGCCATTTCGATGGAGCTCGGCTCCTTCTTCTCTTGGGCTCTGCGCCTTTGACTTGGTTGAGCTCTGCGCCCGGCGTGAGCTCTGCGCTCTGAAGTGGTCTTGGTGTCGAACTCCTCGTTCGATGGGAGCCTTGCGCTCTGTCCTGGTGTTGCTTCCGGAAAGTCTGCAAATGCCGTGGTTTGTCCAGAAGCGGAAACATCCGTTCCGGTTTCTCCGGTCCGCCGGACCGGTTACCGACCGTGCACGTTTGCCTTGTGTCTCTTGTCATCTGTCGGGGATTTCCTCCTGTTGCCGGACGTCGTATTCTCCCTACCACGCCCGTCTCTAGTTTTCCGCTGACTTATCGATGGGTATGTGTGTCTTCCGGTACGTCTCGTTACGCATTTTGGCTTCCGAATTAATAGACGCGCTTGTCATATACCCCAATTGCCCACATGCATAACACTTCAAGGCTGGGCAACCATTCGCAAAGTGATCAGGCTGAATTCACCGCTACCATACGCCAGGACCATCGCCACACGTGATTGCCTGCTGTTTAGTTTGCCTCTCCGTTATCTGGGCTTCGCTCATTGTTTGACTGCCGCCTTCATTTTTCTGTGCTTTGGCCTTGCAGCAAACTCGTCGTCGCTCGAGACCCCGACATCTCTCTTCCGTTTTGCTTTCGCAGCATGTTTTTTTAGCGTCTTTGTGACTGCTCGCCACAGCTGCAGTATCCTTCTTTACGTCCTTCCTAAGATTGTAACAGTACCTTCTGTTCCATAGATGACCAGGCGGAGGTGTTTGAGAACGTGTTGTACACGCCTTGTGGGTTCGTAAAGAGAGCTACGTGTTCTACTTCCGGCCGCACGTTGACTCCATCATCGGTACCACCAGTAATGTCCATGGGTAATCCCGTACCGCAGATCCCAGGAATAACGTTTGTAGCTGCTGTCGTTCCGTTGATGGGGATGACGTACCGACTCGGTGCCGTCGCCCACGACTGCCCAATATTACTCATGCCTGGTCCATCGGGTCATCAATAACCATGGCCTTGTCCACAGCTTCTTCCAAGGTCCGAGGCCTGGGGTCCTGCCTCACTAGCTTCTTCGTGGTTGTGGTGTAGTAGACCACACAAATACCATCAGATGTGGATTCCTTACACAAACCACAATAAATCGCCGAGTTAGATCGGCGCTTGCATGGCCTGCGCAGAGGGTGGTCCCCTTGCGGCTCGGCCCAGCCGGGACAGATGAGTGGCTCGCTTCCACTGAGTTCCGACTAACCAAGTCAGGCATTTCCGAGGATCCGCTGAGTTTGGCTCGGCAGAGGTCGTTCACAAAACCTCGTGACCTCCACCAATTAATATGGACGGCGGCGCGTGAGCGCTTTTACAGGTCACCGAGCGCAAAGGCTGCTCGGCTAGAAGTGTCACGGCACCCGGGCTGCCCGAAGTACCGGCCCGCTAAGTTCGCGGGGCTTTCTTTCGCGCATAGTAAGAGTTTTGTCCTACCCAAACCGACCTAATCTCTTGGCGCTACCAGTCAACACCCTACAAGATATGCCTCTCGGGTACCAACGGCAGGCATAATCCAGCCCTATGCAGGGACCTACCGGAAGAGTGCACACGTGTCTTGGACAAGGCAAATTCTACCCCTTATTTCTGCTCTGTTATCTTCTGGGAGCCTTTTCGGTTCCCCCTATGCTTCCTTTACAAATATCTAATGAAATGTAGTCGGTTCGTATCCCTACCGACCCTTCCGCTGGGTTCAGCCGACCGTTGAGCTCAGCGGCCATCCGGATAACACCATCCGGACATATCGCTGAGTACTTACCGTGATCCTTTGTTCCTAATCTCTGGAATACCAGACCGAGCCGATTCTAGGTCTAACGTAGGTTGACGTATGGTCGAATCTGGAAACCCCTACACCACAACTACCCCCGGTTATGATAGGAGCCGAGCTGGTGAGTGTCTTAATCCTTCATTTGGTTCTGCCACCGTTGGTCCATACTCGGCTAATGACGTCTCGCGGTCCTCCACCACCTTCTTCGGTACGTTCGCCGGCTCTGGTTTTGCTCGCCTGGCAGCTCGTCACGCTTCTCGTCTGCTTCTCCAGCACATCCCACCGACTCCCCGTCGAGGTGAAAGCGCGTCCGCTAAGTCGATTCCTCGGCCCGCTAGTACTCGTGGGGTCAGCGACCGGCACGAAACATGTTTGACATACAACATGTTTTCAAATGTACTTTAACTAGTGCTGCTTGTATGATAACAGCACCAAAGAACTCAAAGATGATGGCGAAAAGGAGGACAACACCAAAGAAGGCAGCTACCGTCACCAAGCCTATCTCCAAAATTCGGAAGAAGAGCTCTCGCACACTTGCAAAATAGGCTACACAACATGCCGGCAAAGAAGCTAAGGAAGCTGCGAGAGCACGACTGGAAGAAGAAGCAGTAAACAAAGAAGCCGGACGGGGGAGAGGCGGCAAAGCAGAAGAAGAAACGCGTAACGAGCCGTCACGATATTGTGGCTATGAGTGGTACGTACTGGTATGTACAGCATGAATTGATATAACATGTTAATGTATTTGAGAACTGGAACACTTATGTGCAATGTTGAAGCTCGAGCTCAGAGCAAAGACGAGCATCAGAAGTGACCGGTGCTGTGGCAGCGTCTCAGGTCGTGCTAGATGCAGCGGCGACCACTACGGATGAGCCTTGCACGTACGTACAACATGTTTCTAATGCTGGCAGATACAACATGTCGCTGACGCAGTCATTTCCAACATGATGCTGATGTTGTATGCAGTGATGAAATGGAGATTAACGGTCTTGATTCGGTCTGCGATGACGATGATGAGGAGCTCGTATTTGCTGCTGAAGAGGATGCAGTAGCCCACGATCCACAAAACAATGTTAATTCCCTAAATGCCGACAGTGAATCTACAGCGCCCGTCGCTTTATCTAAATCAGCTGACGAAGTGGGTGGGGATGAATCCTTTGTCAAGGTCGAGCTAGACGAAGAAAGTGACTTTAACTGGCACGTTCTCCAGCCGGGGGAGATATTGGAGTTTACAAAAGACGAAGCTGCTCTTGCTCGAATGCGAAAGTCTGGATGGCAACTGGGTGCGTATTTTGGGCCGGCTGTATTGTTATTATATGTTCTGATTTGAATCGTGTACTGCAGACTCACAGCAATTTCCGCCAGAACAACGCTACCCTGGGTTGTAAGACGGCCCGTATGGACCATTAAACGCTGTAATGGAATTTGCAGACTCCCCACTGGATCGGTTTTTCTTCTTTATGCCAAGCGAGTTGTGGACATGTGTGGCTGCTGAGTCCACCACCTATCATGAGCAAAATCTCGTTGCCCGCATCGATCAAATGTATGCAAAGCAGAGCCCTCCCCTGCAAAAAAACGAAGGAGGAGTTGATGGAGCGAGAGGCGAAGCATCCTGACATCAAACCCCATGAAATTATCATCGTGCTTGAGTTGTTGATTGCGCGGATGATAAACCCTCAGCGACGTCACTTCTACGACCACTGGTCAGCTACGTCGATTGGTGCTGTGGCTGCTGGCACGTTCGGGGAGTTCATGAAGAGGATTCGATTCACGTACATTCTATCCAACCTACATTTTACCAACAACGCCGATGGACGGGCTGGAGCTGATAGAGCTTGGAAGGTGCGATCGGTGATATATGCATTGCAAACAAGTTTCCACGAAGATTACACAACTCCTTCGATAACCTCACTGGATGAGGCAATGATTCCGTTGCCAAAGCGGCACAATCCGACACGTCAGTTCGTCGCCAACAAGCCCCACCGTTGGGGGACCAAGCCGTGTATGACTGGCTGCGCAAAGTCATCCTACTGTCTGCGGTACGTTCATCCTGTGGCCTCACTGGGCCCACTTTTGTTTTGGCAAAGTCGACATGTTGTATCACTGACAAGCTGTATTCGACAACTTCTATTGATGTTGTATGTTGTCAGACTTGAGTTTTACTGCGGTAAGACGCAGGATCGAGATGAAATTGACAATGTTCCGGAGTCCATTCAATCCGTCGATCATAATACTGGCCTAACCGCTGTGATGAGAAACTTGGAGGCGGTTTTACCACCAGTTTGCGAAGGTGTTTTCCATCTAAACGTTACTGACCGCTATTATACATCAGTGCAGCTTACTTATCAGCTTCTGATCCGGCTAGTGTACTGCGTGGGAACTATACAAGATAATCGTCAAGAATTCAGTAAAGCGATGGTGGAGAAGAATCGAGATCGTCCAAAGCACTTGGAACTACCCCTATGGCCGTTGCCAAAAACCTGTCCTACTATGACAAGTCTGGTGTGGTGGGATCGACGCCCAGTTCAGCATCTCGAAGCGGGTGGAAGTCGCGCAATGGAGAGATGTTGTACGTAATGCTACTTGGTGCTGTGCAGTTGTTGTCAACTAACCAACTATGTTTAGTTTTCGTGCAATGAAAGATCGGTGGAAGCCTCGAAGTGTTTGTGTTGAAGTTCCCTGCCCATCCATGATGCGAGACTATCATCGCTGGATGGACGGTGTGGATATAAATGATCAATTGAGATTTCAACGGTACTCTTCTTAGCAGCAGACCAAGTGCAAGATTTATTACAAAACTATTTTTCTGGGGCTAGTGGACGTTGCGTTAGTGAGCGCGTACATAGTGAGCCGCGAAGCCAGAAAGCTTCGAGGGGCAAAGGAACTTTCCCACGCGGAAATTTTGATGCAACCCCAGGCCCAAATGCTGGAACTCCTTCATTGCGTTCGTATCGATTACATACTTCTATCGTTTTCACGACGGGCATCGCACCTTTTTTTGATAACTGCCCAACAGCCCAACGAGAGTGATGGCCATGTTATAAACAACATGTTGTAGGATTCAGGATTAAGCTCATGGCTACGTTGTATATTGCTGCATGTTAGGAATACAGTCAAAATGGCATGTCGCGTTTTTTTTAAAGAAAAAACTTGCACTTATCCGAGACCATACAAAATGTTAGTGAAGACCGGCTTTAACATGCTATATCCTATAACATGAATGGAATTTCGCTTAGGTACGAAAATGGATTTGGTCATTGGTGGGTTATAGAAATCGGTCTCCATCATCACTGAGTCGCAGAAGCTTGAAAACGTCGTCAGTTGTTTTGCCACTAGTATACCACTTGTCTTGCTGATAGAAGCAACGTCGCGAGGCCTTCAGCAGCAGCAGCACAAGCTCGAGTCTAGACAGCGACGAGGACCGGTTCCAGGACGGTCTCAAATGGGAGTACACTGAACAACTAGAGAGCATCCGCGTGGAGAAGGTCAAGGTCAAGTCCGAGACTAAAAAGAGCGTTTTTTACTTCCGCGGTGTCACTCAAGTGGAGGGCACTATTGAGGAGGTGACGGATTTCCTCGTCCGTGTAGCGCCTTGTCAGTTTTAGTAATAGAATGTCATACGGGTTCTACTTCACAAGATTCGCGTAGGCTACCAACGTGTGCAGCAGCTTGCTCTTCAACAGCTCGTCTCCTTCCTGCATTAATTGCAACAGAGTGAAAGCATTAATACATAACAAAATATATAGCGGTGCAATTGGGCTAAACGTACAAGTGTTACTCCGGGATTTTGCCCTCGTCTGACCAGCTTGTGCATTGTATGTTCTTCATGTTTGCAGCAGTTCTTCTCGTTCGGTGGTCCCTCATTGTTGTAGCTAGATTCGAGGCCAGCTTTAAAGTCGTCGAAGAAAGCTTTCAGGACCGAGAGCATCGCTTGGTCAGGGTTCTCCTTACTTAGCTTGGCCGCGTATGCAGTTCAAGCGCTCCACCCCAGACCTCGGAAAAATGTCCCGCCTTGTCTATTCAATCTCAGCAAGTTAAAAACGGCATCCAGACTTTGCTCTTGAGCCAGCCAGTATGTGAGCTGAGCTTTTTCCAGCATTGCAGCTGTATTCTTTGTATGCGCGTTGTATCGTGCAGCAAACAGCACGTTTACCAGAACGTCGTCGTGTAGTGCGTGTTTAACACAAATAATATATTTTGATTAGCGTCCTGCTTATCCATCTTCCTCGCATTTGCAAACCAAGTACCCCACACGGGACGTTGAAGAAGCTCCTCCCCTCTTTATTCAGTTGGAAAATGACATCCAGGCTTTCTCCATGGGCCCGTCAAAACGAGAGCTGGGCCCTCCTTAACTTTGTAGCAATACGTTGCGTATCTGTTTTCTGTCTTGCAGCGAAAATTATGGTCGCCAACACATCGTCTTAGTAGTGAGCCGTCATCTTCGAAAAAATGGCAGTGTCAGGGTTATTCTTCAAGGTTTTGGTACAGTACCCACATTTTGAGAACATTACTCTCGAAGAGTTTCTTTCCCGCTTCATCAACTCTGAACTTTCCGAACAACTTGTTGGCCGTCGGCTGGCTGTCTTTTACAAACTTGAGCTTTGCAATCTTCTGTAGTTTCGAACTCCATGTCTTAATTACATGTGTGTAGGTTGGCAACATCAAATACTCGGTCTTCAAAGTTCTCTCCATCTGTTGGCGGCGACGTCGACATGTCGGTCGTTCTTAAGCTCCGCGTTACTAGAACGCAATGGAGACTGACACCAAGAGAATGTCTGGAATCTCGAGCTTGGAAATTGGTCGTTTGTATTGAGTTCGTTGACACCGGCGCAGCGCTGAAACATGCCAGAAGATCGTATAGCAGATATATGAAACAGTGACGCATTGTTCCCTCGGTCATTTGGAGTCTCTCTGAGGTTGGTGAGATGTACAGAACCGAAATTGCAAAGTGAGAGCGCACCTCGATATATAAATGTTATTATACATCCTATGCTGATGACTTGTCAAACCGTTAGATCTTGGGGAAAGAGCTATTACGTTGCAACCTTGCTTATGCATACCAGGGGTGTAAATACAGATGTACTGTATAAATAAATCCGGTGTGGCTTATTCTGCTCAGAACCGAATACGAATGTACTGTACTGAGATATTTTTATAATACATATTTTAATTCATGTATTAACCCCTTAGTTCCCGGGCCAAAAGTGAGGGGTATATTTTTACCCAAATGTTGGACCTACAGCATAATATTATATAGGAATTTGGATGGACTGGATAGTTGCACAGCTATGACGCTTGTATAGTACATGTTTGTCGCAGTTTTTAACAATGACATATTCAACATTGCAGGTGTAATGTTGGTGGAAACGTTGATCACCCTAGAGCTAATAATGGTAAAGGTAACATACACAGTGGACTGTTTATCAGGACAGTCTCTTTTTTTTGCATTGCACACACAGACATCCGTCCACCATCTAACTTTACACCGTGACAATTCTCCCCCGACTGACGCTCGGTGACCCCGCCGAGCCACACCACTAGCCTACGCTTCATCTGCGCAGTGATCACCTTCGGAATCTTGGCTTCCTCTCGCTTAGCAGACAACCGGCGCCGACGTTTCTTCCCCTGGACGTCCTGCAGGCGGACGGTCGCGCAGCTTGTGTTCTTGGAGCAAGTTGCGCGGAATGTCGTTGCCATTGTTCCAGTCGTCATGCCATATTGCGAAGCAGCTTTTCTCTCTACCCCGCGCCACGTTGTAGAAGTGTTTCTTGTGGATAGCAACGTTTTCGCATATTTCATTCTCCCTCAGCATTAAGCTAACCTACCGTTGATCCCCGCTTGAGCACTCCGAGCAGAAGTATTTCGTGTACTTCCTTGGCTTCATCTTGTACAGCGCATAGACTTTGCAGGAGCGCTCGCGCTTCTTGAGTCCCAGCTCGTTGTCCAATGTGTCTGGATTCTCATCCGTCGATGTCCACCTAAGTCGCATGCAGCGCCAGCTACAGACGATGGCGGGACACCTTCACGCGCCGAAGACGACGCTGTTCTCTCACGAGCTGTCGTTGCTCTCTGCGTTTTCAGCCGGCATAGTACAACATAAACGTAAGTATTCCCGAACATGTAAGCTGACCTAGCAACCATAACGTACCTCGATTGTCTTGTACGCTTCACTGAAGGCAAGCAGCTTCTCCATTAGCGTCTCGAAAAATGCGTAGTGCTTCGGCGGACGCTTGCTTTTCACTTTGCAGTGATGGCGAAACACGATAAACGCGCTCATAAACGCCATATAAAAAAGACCTAGAAACAGGCTCTTGTAATACTTTCTCGTCATGTAGCTGAGCTGTGCGCTGTAGCGTTGCATCCGGAGCCGGTCGTGAACATCGACACCTCCCATCCACCGAGGATAGTCGCAAATCATCTCCGCTGGCTGCATCTTTCCTTTGACGCGACGCATTACACACAACAGCACAAGTTAGATAAAGCAACCGGAAAACGCAGAGCATGCACTTACTGACTGTGGCCCGTCTTACCTCCACTTGATAGAAAATGGACAGGGTTACGGTAAATCCACATTGCCGATGTAATTTGAGAAAATCGCTTGTTTTCCGCCAGCTTTATCGCTTCTTGCGTGGGGACCACAAATCTCTTCTTACTCACGTGCTTCACCTCCTTCTTAGTTAAAATGCCTTTTGCGTACCCTGAACGATACGTCTGAATGGTGCCCGTCAAATACATACGTCGATGCAGGCGCTCCAACGCTAGCCTAACAGAAGCGATCCGTAATCACCAAGCGTCAGGGCGACGTCGTCGACGGAGGGAACAGCGCATTCAGATTTCTCAAAACAGCAGCTTCACCCGTTTGTTATCCTTCAGCACTGATGTTTGTAGGTTGGTCTTGGATCCGCAGTAAATTTTCTATCTTGCGGCATGAACAAGAAACACTATGCTAGCGTATGTTGAAGAATGCAATACAAATCAATCGTTTATATTGACTTGCAGTCAACATAAGCGCTTTAACTAAAAAAAAATGAGGCAAGACCGGAGTCTGCCACGTTAATAATTGCACGCACCTCAAGCAATATGCCGTTTCAGCACATGCCGCCACGAGCACTTCCGTCTCCCACTTGTGGGGCTTGTCCTTGTTGAACTGCCGGGTTGGGTTGTAGCGTGACTGTGACGATAAGGTGGCTTCATCGAAGCTAATCACTGGAGGTAGACGGTATCCGCGGGTGAAGGTCCGCTCAAGCACATCCGAAACTGGTCGAATCTTTCAGACGTGGTCGCGAGTTGCCATTGGAGACTTATTGTTAGAGAAGTGGAGATAGCCCATAATGCAAAAAAAGCTTTGTCATATAGAAAACCAAACCGGTTCGTTGGTAGCGCACCAACATGATTGGTAGATCTACCGCGATACCCTTAAGCATAAGCATAAGCATGCGCGCAATCAGCAAAGCCATAACACGTAGCAGCTCATGGCTCAGTGTCAGGTACGCGCGCGAGGCGTCGTCGGATGTCACCCAGATCTTCAACGACCCCACACTACGTCGCTGCTTCGCCCGAATAGCCTTCGCTCTGGCAGGAATGGACTGTGCATGATAGCGATTGCTTTCTAATGCAATCTGACTCCAAATTTTCGGCGGCATAAAGTAGAAGAGAAGCGCCAATGGATTGTCACCAAATTCTATAGCGCTGTCACTTGGACCGTAATTTCTATCATAGATTTCTTCGTAAGCTGGGTCATGTCCAAACTTGGCGGTATCTACATACAACAATAGTTAAAGGCAGACTAAATTGGATTCTTATGTTGACTTAGCATTCTGTCAGGATGCCTTATGTTAGATATGGATAACATTTATACCATATTCACAATCATGGGTCCGCATCATCGACACCGACTTCTTGTTCTGCGCAACCGAGTAACACACCGATTCAGGTAACGCCTCTCCTCCTTCGTCCGATTCTTCGTCCATGAGCTCACCAAAGTCCCAAGCTTCTACCCAGTCATCATCGCCATCCATGTCACTAAAGATTTCGTCATCACAGTCCTCCGCTTCGTCAGGGTCTTCGTCAGAATTGAGGTAGGTTCAGCACCATAATCCATCAAGTTAGTGTCACCATTGACGACACACGGTGGAGGAGCTGCACGCAAAAAACTCGCAGGAGAAGCGGCTTCATCCAAGCCTGTTCCGTCGCATTCGTCTTCACTTGAGTCCTGCAAAACTGCCCGGCGTCGCTTGCGTGGGTTTGCAACGGCGGCAGACGTTTCTCTGCGTTTTTCGGTCGATTTAGTAGCTGCTGTTACTAAATCGGCCACCACTTCATGCACCTCAGCATTCACAGTCTCCACTCCACAAGCCACATTCATTGTCTCCACTTCGCCATCCACAATCAATACCTCCACTCCACGCTCCATGATCATATCAGTATCTTTCGACACCGCAGCCTCGTCAATCGTTGTATCCTTGGCCGCTGCTCTTTCATCATTATTCGCTGTAGCGTAGGCAGGAGCATCCCCTTTCGACTCAGCAATCGTCATTGCTGCAGTTGTTCGTTTAGCGCCCTACTTCCTCGCCTGCTTCTTGTCTGTCTTTGTGGCGCCCTTTTTCTCTGCTCGTCGAAGGCGGCGCCTGTGTCGATCACTCAACAGCGCCTCCCGGCACAAGCGCTGCTCTCATTCGCTCAGCTCCCGTCGTGGCGTCTTTCCTGAAGCACCGACCATCTCGTAGACAGCCGGCGTTTGCTTAAATGAAGCTGCTCATGGCTGGCAGCCACATTTGTGGTGGGTGATAGGTACATTCTTTTATCACGCGCAATCAAATCCCGATCGGCCGCTACCTAAACATGTGCATTTGGCTGTTTTCTGATAGAAGTGTTATCTTATTTTCACTATTGCAAAGATATTGACAGTACGACTTTACAAATTTCAAGTATAATAAAATGTTATGTTGGAGGACAACGCATCTAAAACACCTTGTTTTGCAGGATAACACTTAAGCTTTGTTTTCACTTGGTATTTGTAAGAGCAGCCGGGGGGGGATTACCCGGCTCTCCTGTGGGAAGGCATTATTTAATGTAAAGAGGTCGTTACCAGCCGCGCTTCGCTTGGCTGGGGCTCGCTTCGCTCGCGATTAATAGATTCTCTCACCTGGGAAGTGCAATGCGCGGCTCGCTGGTGAGCTCGGCGCTGGGCCCGCCTCCGCAAATACCGCGCGGCCCTGCTTCGCGGGCTCCCCGCGCGGGTTTGCTGCGGCTACGCGACCTCGCACCCGCTCGCCTTAGTTGGCGCCATAGCTGCGTCGCCCCTCCCCGGAAGGTGCTATTATGCGTTTGAGGGTGCTGCACACCGTTTCGAACGGTGTTTTTGCAATTTTGTCATGTTGGAGGTAGAACATAACATAGATGCTGCGAAAAAAAGAGCTTATACACTCTAACTAAGGGGTTAATTGGGTTAACTCTAAGTACATGTATTAATAGACTTCTATGAGCCCACGCAGGCTTACATGTAAATGTGATGCGAGCTCGTAGAGCCACCAAGCTGTAGTTAATTCAACCATAAGTAATCAAAGCTTCGTTAGTTCAATATCTTGGCACAGTTGCCTATCGCTCTCATATCAATCGCGCTGATTATACGTCCTCGCAATGAATCATGAGGACCCACCCCTGGTGGCACCAGGTCTTCTAGGAAATTTTGGAGGCCGCCAACAAGCAGTGATCCGGGGCCGTCACTATGATATTTGGGAGGCAGGCAGCACAGCGTAGTGCTAAAGGCGTAACAGGTTGGTTACGATGATACATGCACGCAAGAAAAAGAGAAAAACAAAAAAAAGGTGGTGCGACTCAGCAGCTGAGCGGTGGCTACTGAAGGTACCAGTGGTAGTAAGGGCACTGGCTGAGTTTTCAGATCACTCGTTTTGGTATTTAAAAATGAAAAACAGTAGCAGAAAAAATTGTGATGTATTACCGGGCTCACAAATTCATGGTGCTGAAATATACAGTGCCTAAAAATATACACTCGTGGTGGATCCTACCCTCTTGCTACATCTCGACTCGTTTGCGAACTGCGCCAAAAAATCACGCCTCATTCACAACTTGACACCCTCTTACTTGGATCGTATATATTGTGCGAGCTCAGTGCTCTCGACAACGGTACAAGTCGTCGCCTAGAACATCTTTGAAGACCTCCCGAAAGTACTTGGGGCACCCTCCCACCTTTCCAAGCCTGTCGGCATCTTCACGAAACAGCTCCTTATTTTGCAATTTCAAGTTGGCCACCATGCGGTACCAATAGATCTTGATGCTTCCAGCTGCAGAAGGTGTCTTAGTCTCCAAAAGAGGAGCAAGCAAGTCCACTGCGGCGGCGTAGTCCTTCGCGAAAAATGCGTCCAGGCCTCGCTCCAGCAGCGATGGGGCCGCGCGCTTAATCTTCCACTTGTGGCACTCATTCCACGATTGATCTAGAGGACGATAGCTGCTCGTAAGCACCAAACGACGAAATGCAGAACCCGTAGTTGGGGGTGAGATCAAATACGAGTCTTTGGACACATTGTAGATAGCAAAAACCTCATCTACAGGGATCAAGCGCCACAATCCCCCCTCTCTCGGTAGCTCACCGCCCAGCCAGGTGAACGCCCTTTTCTCTCCGTAACCTTCAGCACTCTCCGATGCAGCAACATCCGATGCGAGCAAATACTCCTGCGAGTACACGTTGAGGATGTAAAAGTCCGGGCTGGCGGGCACAAATCGCCAGATCTCTTTACTCTGATCAGCTTCCCACTCGTCGACCCAGCAGAAAACACATCGGCGAGTTTCGTCGTAAAGGAAATAGTCTTCGGCCGCGAACAACATATTGTCGTTCAGCACTGACGAGACGGTAACAGGAGTGTTACTAGCTAGAGCTCGAGCAGAGGGCGAAACACTGCGGATCCAGCAGATCTCAGCGAGCATTAGCGTTTTGTCCAGCGCTTGGGCCATCACTTTGTCCAGCAGTGAGGCGACAGCGACGGCGTTCCATCGCCCACCAGTCTCAAGCAGATATTGACACCCAATGACAGTCCATTCCTGATGCGGAAGGCTCGCCAAGAAGCGAAGAACGGCATCCTGGACTGCCAGGAGTTGCACCCGTTTAGTGGAAAGCAAGTGCTTCAAGAGGACATCTCCACGATACTCGACGTCGCGGATTCCAAGGAAGCAGCTCACGGCTTGCGCACAGGCCTCAGGTCCACTATTCCCGAGCTGCTGGCCTGCCCAGCGAATGGCGTTGCTCTCGTCAGGCTCCATGATGGTGCCTCGGTGTCAAAAGGTAGAATGAAAAAGCTGTTTCGGTGGGAGATGATCGTCCCGTTAAACTCGAGCCTTTCGTGCTCATGAGAAAGGATATGCAACTAGTTGAATGGTGAACGTGCTGGACAATACTCTCACTTTGTCTCCCCGCTTCTAACCTTGTAACCTGTCGGTCTGTCCGTCCGTCAGTCCATCGCATTCCCCGTCTTGCTGCTTTTTCCTGCCTTTTCGCATGACTACAGTCGGCCTGTCTAATACAGTTTCCTCCCATCGTACCGACCGTGCCTACCTTTCTGACTCGACCTAACTATGCTAAAATTACGAATATATCCAAAAGCGTTACACAATTAACGCGCGCCCTGATTGGGCAATCTTTTTCGACTCACTTTTCATTCAAAACACAAAATTGGATTTTTGAGCGACGGCGCGGAGAGGACAAGGTGCGCTGGCTGTATAATAGCAGTAGGGTAGTTGTAGATGTATGTGCATGTATGTACGGGCGTGGGGCTTCTTGCCCTATTATATATTCAAGAGAGACCTCTCAGGATACAGTCTGAGGCTTGCCCCGAGACTCCAAAGTGGTATGGCAGCTGGTAGCGATAGCAATCAGGTTGGGGTGGGTGTGACTGAGAGCGTCTACCACCATGCACGCGCCTAGGGGTCCTAGACCCACCGCGAGTGTCCACGCTCCAAAAGCGAGTGGCGCGTGCTGCCAATTGGCCAAACCGAAGTTGCAGCCACATGCGGAAGAGTCGTTACGGTCCCGCAATACAGAGGTGCTCTTAAAGTGTGAGCTCCCACATCAAAACACACTTTGCGAGAGCACTTCTGGCGGGACGGAAAGGAATGCAGCAGTCGGTCTCACAAGAGCAAGGAGTCCAAGACCAAGTGCAAGGACAGCTCAAGAACAAGAGATCAAGAAAAAAACACTTTAACAGCATGAGTGAGCCTCGCGCCTGTACACTTTAATAGCATAGCGTCATAATAGACAGTTTTAGTTCATTTTCGGAACTGTGTGAGCCCCGGAAGGGGCTGGGTCGTTCTCGGACACCCTGTGCATACTACTGACATGACCTGAAGGGCTGGACGGTATCAAACAGACCTGGGCAACCACTCAACAGGGCTGAGGCAACAGCTTTGACGTACCCAAGAGGCAACAGCGCGATGCGGCGTCTGAATTACCATGTACAGCTGCTTGGTCCACAGCCGTGCAAGGTAATTTGGGCCCGCGGAACGTGAGCTGAGGGCTGTAACACGTCGGCCAAGGGGAGGGCCTAAGCTAAAGCTGACTGGACCAACAAGCCGCCTGGAGTGACGATACCCCTAAGTTGTTTGTAATCCGAGGAGCCGGGATGGAAATGACAGTGGTGTGCTATATTCATAGAGGGCTTCTGAATTAGTACTGGAAAGGAAAGTTCGGGGTTCTACTCGAATACCACGTTGCTTAAGCTACCGTGTCCATGTTCTGGTGCTTATATTATACAAAATAGCTGTAGAATAGCTCCCAGTGCACTTAGACTTTCGAGTCTAACCGCCCATGTAATTATTTTCCATTTAGATCAGGCGAAAGACGCGTTCAAGATAGAAGGACATGGCAAGAGGCCCGAGGAAAAGAAAAAGGTTCCCCAACAATTGTGTAGCGGGCTTTGGTGCAAAATTAACTCGACTAACTCTGTCCAATGGTTAGAATTACCCGCGAGGAGCTAGATGATCGCGTGCAACGAGCCCGGCGTGAGAACGCATCCCAATCCCACGAAGAATCGCGTAAGGATAGACAACTCCGTAAACAGAGGCTTCGTACCGCAGAGGCCCGCTACCGCAAGGCAATCCAATAATTGGAGCAGCTTGAGTTAGTTGAAACCCCAGCACCAACTGAATCCGGACAGATGATAGTTACTGGTCCGGCGGTAGAGAGTGAGGAGAAGACAGAAGAAGACGATCCTGCTGAGCATCATCGACGATTTGAGGAGGACGCGCATTGCGAACACCCTGTCGACAATGCTCGCGGCTTCCAGATTGGAGCGTCAACGAATTCAGACGATAGAGCTGCGGCTAAACGTGCGCGGGATGCGGAAAGAGCACGGGCCAGGCGAGCCGCTATGACGAGCTCACAAAAACTACGGACACGAGCGAAGGACGTGGAGAGGAAACGGCTACGTAGAGCTAACAGATCCGACTCCCAGGTTATCCTATACCGCGGACGAGATGCCGAGCTGGCGAGGGTACGACGCGATCGAATGGCTCCAGAAGACCTGGCAGCTCATCAAGCGTATTATCGAGATGCGCAATCCAACCACAGAGCCATAAGAGCAGAGGAGGATCGTCAAAATGCAAGGATTCGTGATGCAGTGGCACACGACAGTCGCAGGGAAGGCATGTCAGATGAACAGCGCCAAGCGGAGCGTGACCAAAATACAGACGCACACCGCCATCGCAGGCATGTTGCGGAGCAGGCAGACCACTTGAACAGCAACCAGAGGGATATTTTTGACCAAGTTATTGCTGCTGTGAGCAGACCGGTTGGAGGGCAGAAGCTTTTCTTTTTGGATGGTCCAGGTGGAACAGGAAAGTTATTCCTACTCGAGCAAATACTCGCTCACGTTCGGATGCAACGTAAGGTTGCCATCGCGGTTGCTTCGAGTGGGGTTGCAGCCACTCTGTTAGCTGGAGGTCATACCGCGCATTCAACGTTCCGGATTCCCCTCAAACTAACAGAGACGTCGACGTGCAGTCTTTCATGGCAGAGCCACAAAGCCGAATTAATTCGTAGCGCGAGTTTGATCATTTGGGACGAAGCGCCGATGATGAACCGAGCTTGCTTTGAGGCTGTTGACAGGTCGCTTCGGGATATTATGAAAAACGAGCTGGAGCCGTTCGGCGGAAAGGTAATGGTGTTCAGCGGTGATCACCGCCAGATTCTACCTGTACTGAAGGATGCTACGCGTGCGGAGATGATTCAAGCTTGCTTCAAGTCTTCGCCCCTATGGGAGCATTTGCGTCAAGTGCGGTTAACCGAGAACATGCGTGTCCGCACCGCCCCAGACGCGGCCAGTGCGGCTGAGTTAGCGGAATTCTCTGAATTTTTACTTCAAATTGGAGAAGGCCGTTACCCAGTCAACCATGAGATCGGTGATGGCGACATTTGCCTTCCACGCGACGTGTGTATCATTCCAAAACGACGGGTACAACAAATGACCTCTGACGAAGAAGACGCGGATATGGAGCCTCCCCCAAGTTTCAGGCTACTACCTCCGGCGGACGAGGAACACGAGCGAGACTTGGACGAAGTTGAAGAAGACCGACGAGTCCGCAACGTCAACGCACTCATAGATGCGGTGTACCCGGGCGTTGATACTGAGAATTTACCCGATGAATACTTCGTTGAGCGAGCCATACTAGCCCCCACAAATGCAAGTGTTCGGCGTATCAACGACATGGTTGCGGAACGGCTATCGGGTGAAACGAAGGAGTATCTCTCGGTGGACAGCCTCGAAGGGGTCGCGGATGCAAATATGTTTGAGCAGGAGTTCTTAAACTCTCTTAGCTTCTCCGGTATCCCTCCGCACAGGATTGTTCTGAAGGTTGGAACACCTATCATCATGATTAGAAACCTGAATAGAGACGCAGGTCTTTGCAACGGAACGCGACTTCGGGTTGTGTCACTGCGTGAGAGAAGCATCGAGGCCAGCATTATGTCCGGGCCGTTCAAGGGTAAGAAGGTGTTCATTCCTCGGATCGTCTTTTATAGTGAGGACGATGACAAGGAGTTCCCGTTCAAACTCAAGCGTAAGCAGTTCCCCGTGGTTCCAGCGTTTGCCATGACTATCAAACAGGCCCAAGGACAATCGATCCACCACGTGGGTATCTACTTAGAATCACCGGTCTTCGCACATGGGCAGCTTTATGTGGCGTTGTCGAGAGTGACTTCGAGGAAGGCGATCAAGATTGCTGTAGATCCAGAGGCCATCGATGAGGACGGGAACGTACACACCAACAATATTTTGTACAGGGAGATCTTTAAAAACGCGGACTTGGTAAGGCACGTAATACATATAATACATTTAGCTTTGATTTCAGAATGTTCTTTCATCCGTCGCAGCGCAGCGGAGGCGAACAGCCCACACTACACCAACCAACCATGCCCTAGCGTCCGCGGAGCGGGCGCCCAGAGCGCTAGTTTACCGCTTCCTTACCGAGTAACCTGTCTGTCCGTCCGTCCGTCCGTCCGTCTGTCAATCAGTCCGTCGCACTCCCTGTCTTCCTGCTTTTGCCTGCCTTTTTGCATGGCTACACTCGGCCTGTCTTATACAGTTTCCTCCCATCCTACCGACCGCGCCTACGTTTCTGACTCGACCTAGCTATGCCAAAATTACAAATATATCCAAAAGCGTGACACAATTAACTCGCGTCCTGATTGGGCAATACCTGCCGACCTGCGACACTGACTGGAGCTGTCGCACGATCAGACCGTCTCTGGCCCTCGCGATTGGACGTAAGGTAAACATTTCTGCCGAGCACGAAACGCATGGATTGGTTGCAAACAGCCAGGCGAGCTGCGCAAATACTTGATTATTGACATTTAGCTACGCAAAACCTGTCGTATGTACTGCAAATCGGGCACAGTAACCACTTTATTTTCAAAGAGCTCTGCACACTTCTCAAATAGAGATATGTAATATTATTTATGTAGACTTCACAGACCAGTATTTTGTAAGAGCTCTGGGATGTTATTTTCCACACACTTTTCAAAGTAAAGACGATATTAATAGTACTAATATGATTAATATAAGCGACACAGGCCATTTGTAAGAGCTCGGCGATGCTATTTTTCACACACTTTCTAAAGTAGAGACGATAGTATTTTTTAATATTAAAGTAGGCTTCACGACCAGCGCTTTTTGTAGGGACTTTGCGAATATATATCTTTTTTACTTCACCTGGCACTCACCACTGCCACCGTGCAATGAAGGCGCGCGGCTGCACGGGCATTTCGCTAT